CACGTGGCCCTCCTGGGTTGTGAGCGGAAGTCCGCGTCAGCGCGCATTCTTTGTGGAGAGAGCAGGCAGCACCCAGCGACCCTGCAGCCACAGCTGTGTCTCCAGCTCTCCTGAGCCCAGAGGGCAGGTTCCCGCCCAAGCCCCTCACACGCACAAACCAAGGATAAGAGGGCAAGAGATGGGATAGCAACACTGACAAAAGGCACGGATCTGCAGTTCACGGGAAAAGAACTGTGTAGTGTGTTGAGTGTCTAACCTCAGTGATAATTAAGGAAATGAAAATTAAAACAACAGTGTCACTTTTTACTTAATCAGGTTAACAAAAATGAGTAAGTTTCATGGCATTTAAGATTGTCAAGGGTGTAGAGGAACAGTCGTCACATGTGAACATTATTGCTGGGAGCCTACACTGGTACAACCCATTTGGAGGCTGTTTATAGCTACTTATGAGATTTCTAAATGTACATTGAAGTTTATTTAATATCAGCACCTATTTTATAATAACAACTTCGAAATACTTCACATAAGGTTGTCAAAGACACATTGTGTGTGTATTCCATTGCTAAGTCGTGCCTAGCACTTTTGTGACCCCTTCTAATGTAGCCCACCAGGCTCCTCTGTCCATGGGATTCTCCAGGCAAGAGTACTGGAGTGGGTTGCCATGTCCTTCTCTAGGAGATCTTCCCGACCCAGGGATCAAGCCCTCATCCCCTACATTGGCAGGCAGATATTCTTCACCACTGAACCAGTGGGGAAGCCCCCCAAAACATGTTAGTTTCAGCCTAAAATTCCTAGAGATTACATAAATTAAGTCCATGACCATCAATCAAGTATGCAAACATTCTAAGGCATGTTAGAAAATTGAAATATAATTGTTTACAATACTGTCTTAATTTCAGGTATGCAAAGTGGAAACAGACTCACAGACACAGACAAACTTAGTGGTTACCAAAGGGAAGGGGGAGTGTCGTGGGGGACAAGCTCGGAGCATGAGGTTAACAGATGCAAACTTCTAAGGCAGTTTTATAGAGCCAAAAGCCTTGAAACGACTGACCGCTCGGGCTGGAGTCTTTGAATTGAGTATTACCACCTGTGGCAGACTGAATTTTCTGCCTCCCCACCCCGGCCCGTTCTTACCTTGAAGCCCCAACCCCCTGTGTGAGGGTGTCTAGAAACGGCCTTGGGGAGATAGAGTTAGGTGAGCTCATGTGGGCCCGCCCTCGTGATGGGATTGAAAGTGACAGTGAAGTCGCTCAGTCCTGTCCGACCCCACAGACTGTAGCCCACCAGGCTCCTCAGCCCATGGGATTCTCCAGGCAAGAATACCAGAGTGGGTTGCCATTTCCTTCTCCAGGGGAATCTTCCCGACCCAGGGATTGAACCCAGGTCTCGTGCACTGGGGGCAGACGCTTTAACCTCTGAGCCACCAGGGAAGACAGGTGCCTCTATAAGGCAAGACACCATTCCTTCCCTGCAAGCAGGATCATGAGTACCATTTTTCTGGATTCCATATGTATGCATTAATATATGAGATTTGTTTTTCTCTCTTTTTTTTTTTTTCTGAAACAGGATAAAGTTCTCTTTTTTTTTTTATTTTTTAAATTTTTTTCATTTATTTTTATTAGTTGGAGGCTAATTACTTTACATCATTGCAGTGTGTTTTTCTCTTTCTGACTTAAACTTCACTCTGTATAACAGGCTCTAGGTTTATCCGCCTCACTAGAAGTGACTCAAACTTGTTCTTTTTTATGCCAAGTAATACTCCATTGTGCATATATATACACACACATACCACAGATGTAGGGAATGGACTTGTGGGCACAGTGGGGAGGGAGAGAGTGGGATTTACACACTGCCACTTGTGAAATGGGAAGCTGGTGCGAGCTTGTGTATGACTCGGGAAGCCCAGCCTGAGGCTCGGTGCCGACCCAGAGGGCTGGAGTGAGGGGAGCGGCGGAAGGCTCGGGAGGGAGGGGATAGATTTTTTATAATTATGGCTGACTCGTGTGGTTGTGTGGCAGAAACCAACACAACACTGTAAAAATACTTTTAAAAAGACACCGGAAAGCACTTGAGCGCTTTGACGCCGTCTGTCCTCTCTCTCTCTCATGCAAGGACGCAGTGAGAAGGTGACCCTCTCTAGCCAGGAGGGAGGTCCTCACTGAAACTCTGTGATGTCAGCTCTGTGACTTTGAACATCCGGTCTCTGGAACTGTGAGAACATGTTTCTGTTGGTCAAGCCACTCAGTCTATGGTATTTTGTCATGGCAGCCCGAGTAGATGAATACGCCACGTTGGGTACCCGTAGCGCTGAATGAAGCCTCACACTCTGGGGTGCTGCTGCTGTCTGAATGTCTTCTTCGGAAAGACACCTATTCGGGCCTTCTCTCCATTTTTCAGTTGGGCTCCTTAGTTTTTGATATTGCATTGGATGAACTGTTTATATATTTTGGATATGAGCCACTTATCAGTCATATAATTTGCATATATTTTCACCCATTCATTAAGTGGTTTTCATTCTGTCAATGGTTTTCTTTGCTGGGCAAAAGTTTTTAAGGCTATTTAGGTCCCATTTGGTTATTGTTTTTTTTTCCTTTGCTCTAGGAGATAGATCCAGAAAAAAGTAGTGCTGTGCTGTGTGTCAGAGAGTGTCCTGCCTGCGCTTTCTTGTAGGAGTTTTATGGTTTCTGCTCTTTCATCTTGGTCTTTAGTCCGTTTTGAGCTGCAGCCAGCAGCGGCCGCCTGTCATCACCGTGCACAGGCTTCTCTCGTTGTGGAGCACAGGCTCCAGCATGTGGGCTCAGTAGCCGTGGCACACAGGCTTAGTTACCCTGAAGCATATGAAATCTTCCCAGACCAGGGATCGAACCCCTGTCCTCTGTATAAGTCGGCAGATTCTTAACCGCTGGACCACCAGTGGTTAAGTCCTTGACTTTATTTTTGAATATATGTGTAAGTGTGAGAAAAATTTCCAACTTCATTCTTTTACATGTAGTGCAAGACACTGTCTTTTCTCCATTGTATATTCTTGCCTCCTTTGTGGTAGCTTAATTGACCATAATAAGTATGTGGTTTTTATTTCTGGGCTCTCTGTTCCATTGATCTATTATTATATGTCTTTTTTTTGTGTGTGCCAGCACCACACTGTTTTGATTATTGTAGCTTTGTAGTGCAGTATCAAGTCAGTAAGCATGATTCCTCCAGCTCCTTATTCTTTCTTCAGATTGTTTTGACTATGCAGGATCTTTCTTGTCTCTGTATGAATTTTAAAATGATTTGTTCCAGTCCTGTGAAAAATGCCATTGCTGTTTAGATAGAGATGGAATTGAATCTGTAGATTGCCTTGGGTGGTATAGTCATTTTAACTGTATTGATTCTTCGAGTCTGAGAACATGCTGTATCTTTCCATCTGTTTGTGTTGTCTTCAATTTCTTTCATTAGTGTCGTAAAGTTTTCCAAGTGTAGGTCTTTTACCTCCTTAGGTAAGTTTATTCCTAGTATTTTGTTGTTTTTTATGCAGTGGTAAACGGGATGTTTCCTTAATTTCTCTTTTTGATAGTTTGTTGTTAGTGCATAGAAATGCAACAGGTTTCTATATATACTTTTGTATCCTGAAGTGTTACCAACTTCATTGGTGAGCTCCAGTAGTTTTCTGGTGGTCTCTTTAGGAATTTCTATGTATATCATGTTATCTATAAACAGTGATCGTTTACTTCTTCCTTTCCAATTTGGATTCCTTTCATTTCTTTTCCTTGTCTGGTTGCTGTGGCTAGGACTTCCAATACTAAGTTGAATAAAAGTGGTGAGAGTGGGCCTCCTTGTCTTATTCCTGATCTTAGAGAAAATGCAAAAATCCTCAACAAAATAGTAACTAACTGAATCCAACAATACACTAAGAGGATCATATACCATCATCAAGTGGGATTTACCTCAGGGATGCAAGGATTTTTCAGTATTTGCAAATCAATCAATGTGATATCCTCATTTACAAATTGAAGAATAAAAACCATATCTCAATAGATGCAGGAAAAGGCTTTTGAGAAAATCCAACATCCACTTATGATAAGAATTCTCCAGAAAGAGGTCATAGAGGGAACCTACCTGAACATAATAAAGTCCATGTATGATAGACCCACAGCTAACATCAGACTTAATGATGAAATGCTGAGAGGCCTTCCTCTCAGATGGGACGTGTTCACGTGCTGGTCTTCCTGCCAGATGTAACCTCCTCGAGGACAGTGTAGCTGTCTTTCTGTGTCCCGGGTGGATTGGTCCCAGGGTACCCTTGGGTTGTCAAGATCTGTGGGCGCTGAAGTCCCTTATATAATGTGGCAGAGCATTTGCATATAACCTGCCTACATCTATCTTATACTTTATTTATTTAAAAATTTTTATCTGTCTGTGCTGGGTGTTAGTTGCTTCATGTGAGATCTTTCATTGTGGCGCGTGGGTTCTCTTGTTGCAGCACGTGGGCGTTGTTGCTCCACAGCCTGTGGGGTCTTAGTTCCCCAACCAGGAATTGAACCTGCACTCCCTGCATTGCGAGGAGGATTGGTAACCCCTGGACCTGTGGGAAGTCCCCATGTTTATACTTTAAATCACCTCTAGATGGCTTATAATGCCTAATGCAATACAAATGCTATGTAAATAGCTGGAGATACAAAGTAAATGGTATATAAATAATTTCCAGTGCAGCAAACTCAAGTTTTGCTTTTTTGGAACTTTCTGGAATTTTTTTCTAAATATTTTTGATCTGTGGCTCACCAAACTCATGAGCACTAAACTACAGATGGGGGGCGAGGTGATGACTGTAATTTTATCTTTTTGTTCACATTGTGTCCCCAGGGCCTAGAACAGAGTCTGGCTGTGGTAGGCTCTTAATAAATAACTGAATTGGAAAAAATACTGAGTTGAATAAAACAATGTAAACCAGTCATCATCATAACAATTTCTTGTTGAATATTAATACAGTATTGCTCTTCCCTTTTGATGGAGAATAGAAAATGAACAGTATATCATCAGCCACTGAATACTACAAAGAGATTTTGAAACAAGACAATACCCATGTGGGAGCCATTGTGTTCATTGGGATTGACCACTTCTACGCTGAGCAGCCAGAAGTAGCTCTCCGGTTTTTCAGGTGCACTTTACCTTCAGTTTGTAGAACTGCTTTCCTGTGAAATAGTGATTCGAAAAGTGATAAAGACAGAGTGAAGATGCAGGGAAATAATGTGTGGGCCATGTCTATATGAGACTAAAAATTCAAGCACCCAGATGTTTTATGACTATTCAAGCTATTTTTAAATAATTTGGAAATGCAGAAGTATTTAGCATCTTGCAGAAACACACCTGGATACATGCCTATTTTTAACACCATGTCAGTGTATATGAATCGGCCATTTTGTCATCAACCAATAACAGCTTAACTGTTACTAGAAGCTTCCACATCACTGCCTCCATTAATACCACTGTACATAGTGTCAAGACCTGAAAAGTAAAATAATAATGTGATTTGTAAAGAGCAGTGGACCCTAGGCTCTAAAGTTCTGATCAGGACCTTAAAACAGAATCCCAGCTTTGTGAAGTATTATTAACTCTCGTTCAAATATGTTTGCAAAATCTAAATAAGTTATTTTCACTGGTTCTTTGAGCACATACCTTTTTTATCCTATAGATGGTTTCTGAGATTAATTTTTAAATTATGATTTCCTCTTTAGCCCTTGGGTAATATATAGGGAGATAACTGGCAGCTGACAGGAGTCCTTTCTAAGTATATGTTGGAGCGCGAAAGATAATAATGTGAATGCCAGCCTGTGCACACACAACTGTCTTTACTCCCCTACCCCTAGAGCGGATCATGGGTTCCTCAGGGCGGCTGGGGTGATTTTCACATGCTTGTCTGAACTCTCTCATCTTTTGGGATTAGTGATGCATAGAAGCAAAATAGGGTTCTTGAGCTACAGTGTGAAAGCTAAATGGGGAACATTGGGATCCCCCAACAGTCTTGTCTTCCTGAGTAGAAGCTCACTGGTGGTCACTGGATGCAGCTGAACCACACAAAACAAGTAACCAAAACCAGAATCCAACTCAGCCGAAAACTCGGGAGGCTAAAACAAAGGCCTCAAATTGGTTAGAAGGTCTTAGAAATTTCCCTTCCGAGCCCCAAAGTTGCGTGAGGCCAAAGTGTATAGGGCTTTTACTTTATGTGACTATTTATTTATTAATTTGATACTCTAGCAAAGCTTTTCAGAGTGGGGGGGGGGGAAATAGTTACAGAAGTTATTTCTGACTTTGCCTCTGGCTACATTTCTCATGACTGGTACCATTACAAACACATGCTTTTGAATTCTCTTTTTCACTTACTATAATACTTTCTGTTCTTTGGAGGTTATTAAAAATGGATAAAATGAATTAATTTCTAACTCTGTAAAAAATGTGTCAGTATCTGTAAAGTTGATCTGACACCAGAGTGTGTGTGCTCTTTTCAAAAAGGCGAGTCCTCCAGATGGGTGTTTACAACTGCCCGCTTTTTAACAACCTGGGGCTGTGTTGCTTCTACGCCCAGCAGTACGATATGACTCTGACCTCGTTTGAACGTGCCCTTTCTCTGGCTGAAGATGAAGAAGAGGTAGCTGCCGTCTGGTACAACTTGGGACATATTGCTGTGGTACGTTGTTTCCCTGATATAGTTTCTGCTTTAGGAAAGGTAGCCACATGTTAGTCTTGAAGAAGTTTTCACGTACTGGAAATCCAGGTTTGGTTCCAGTCCTTGTAACCAATTTAGAGATTGCTGGGAGTCACCCAAACTTGTTTTACATCCCCAGGTTAATCCCCTTACATACAGGTCACACCCCACTCCATGTCAGGGCGTGTCATTTTCTCTGCGGTGGCAGGAGAGGTGTGTGTGGGGCGAGGAGGTCAGAGGTGGCAGGAGGAAGTGGCGGGATTTGTGTGTGCAGTTTGCGCTCTTCTCTTACAGGGGGTAGGGGACATGAACCTGGCCCACCAGTGCTTCCGGCTGGCTCTGGTGAGCGACAACAACTTTGCGGAGGCCTACAACAACCTGGCAGTGCTGGAGATGCGGAGGGGCCACGTGGAACAGGTCGGCCAGCCCTGCGGGCCACGGACAGCCTGCTCGCTTCCCAGAGCAGCTGCTGTGTGCAGCCGTTTTCACACGTGACAGTTTCAAAGCGAGCTCTGGGGTCTGACTGCTGGGGTTTGAGTCCCAGTATTGGCAGCGTGACCTTGGACAAGTCACTTAACCTTTCAGTGTCCAAAACAGAACGCTCGAGTTTATTAGGGCAAAACTGCACTTCCCCAGTCTAATCTTTCCACCATTCACAGCCCCCACCCCCCATCTGCCACCCTGCTGCTCAGGCCTGCATCCTAGGACCACCCGCCCTACACGTCCTAGGACCTCCTCCCACAGCCCCCCCCGAGATTTCTCTTTTCCAGCTGCCCCTTCCCCACCAGCCCATGCCTCTAGTGAGCCCCCGCAGTGCCACGCACGCATCCTCAGCTCTCTGCCCCTCGCCCGCTCCTCCAGGCCGCTGTCGCCTCCCGCCTGGATGAGTACAAGAGTGTCTTTGTCTCCACTCCCATCAGCAAGGAAGTGCACCCTGTAACGTATTTTCCTCAGCTCAGCCTTAAGGGTATGCTTTAAACAACAAGGTTATTTCATCACTGCTTTGCTTAGCATCCTCCAAAGGCTCCTCCCTGCCCTCGGAATACGTGAATAGTTCGAACTTCAAACCTTAGCCTTCAGGGCCCCACATTGTCTGGCCTGTGGGACCCCCTGAGACCACGCTCTGCCACCAGGCTGCTGGCTGCTGGGCAGGCCCGTTCCTACTGTGGGGCCTTTGAGATAGACTCCTTTCAGATCCCAGAGGGACCCTTTTCTTGTTACCATTCGGGTCTTCGCTTAATTACCACCTCTTCAGAAAGACCCGCTTGACTGTCAGTCTAAAGGAGCCCTCGGTATCATCCCCTAGTACTTTCTCCTTCACAGTGCTTGTCATTTTATCAGATGTTTCCAGTCTCTGCGTGCGGGATGCAGAATGCTGGCTGTGTGACAGCAGGGACCTTCTCTGTCTTCCGACTGCTGTATTTTCAACATCAGAACCACTGCTTGGCACTAGGGAGGTGCTTAGTGTGGGTAGAACGAGCAGATGATAAATAAAATAGTCATCACAGCAGCTGACCTGAAGGGCCTCTGGGGAAGGCGAGCCTCTTGTGCATGTAAAGCGCTTGGAATAGTAAAGTCACATGGTAGATGCTTAATAAGTTATATTTTGTTACCATTTACCTACTGGGAAGTTTAAAATGCTAAATATGCTCATACCGTATTAATGACATTCAAGATGAATAGCTGCTCCATTCCCTCTGTCAGAGATGATGAAACAGGCTAGAGAGGGTGAGTGACTGACCGAGGTCACAGGCCTGGCGCGCAGCACGCCGGGACGTTGACCTCCAGCCTGGTCTCCGAAGCGTGTTGCTGAGCCTGAGAAAACAGGTAGAGAGACCTCAGTGGATGCTGCCGTCCTTTCACAAAACTTTCCCAAAGTAAATAGAATGGCTGTGTATTCTGTAAACAAAAGCTAACTGCTCTAAAGTAGGAACTTGTTCTGTCATGGAACTTTGTATCCATCTGAAGCAAATGCTTTTTATGATTTTCTCTGTTTCCTTGTTGGTGATTTTCTTTCCCTCCTACTTATTGTAGTTTCTATATGCAATTGATTTGAAATGTTTCGGTGAAAGGTTTCACTATTATTAAAAATTATACTTCAGTGCCTCTGGAGAAGGACGTGGCAACCCACTCCAGTATCCTTGCCTGGAAAATTCCATGGACAGAGGAGCCTGGTCGGGTGTGGTCCATGGTGTCTCGAAGAGTCGGACACGACTGAGCACATACACACATACTTCAATTAAAAGAAACTAGCAAATCATAAAATTAATATCTGCCATCTTATATAAACTATTATTTTCCTTTAAAAAAAAGATTGAAGGATTTGTCCTCAGGGTCATGCATAGAAGTTTAGCTTCAAGTCGGAAGGCTGTTTTGGCAGCTTAGGAGCGCCAAGTTTGTGGTCCTAACAGCGAGCATACAGGCTCCTCACGTCGCTCGGTGGTCTCTACAACGAGGGAGCCTTTGAGCCTGTAGGCGACAAAACATGCTGTGAGTTTCGTCCTTTGAGTGCTTTAGAGAACAGAAGGCTTGTCATTTTCAGTTGCCTTCAGTTGTCATTTTCAGGTCAGTGGTATAATAAATGCTTGCTCATTGTCGTCCAGCACAGAACGTGGCAATCTGAATTTGTGGTTTTTTAATGCCTTTGGTTGTTGCATTAGAGGAGGTAATTGAAAGCCTACTAAATCAGTCAACAGCAACAAAAACTAGATTGACAAACACTTTTTTTTTTTTAGCATTGAGAGGACCATATTTTGAGTTGTACATCATATTGAAATGTAAATTATAAGAACAGTGGTTCTCACATAACTTGTCAATTCTATTCTTTTCTCCATATTTTGAAGCATTTTATTTGTAATATAACTTTGACAAGATATAAGGAGTTAATTATATATCTGTAAATTGTATTTCACAGAAATTCATCCATATTTATCACAGAATCATGTTTTTTAAAGTCCTTTCCTGGGTAAAGTTTTCTTCTACCGAAAAAAAATCACCAATATAGTGCTAATATATGCTCATATGCCTTTGGTCTCTCTTTCCTTTTTTTCTTTTCTAAACAGGCAAAAGCACTGTTACAAACTGCATCATCTTTAATACCCAATTTGTACGAGCCACATTTTAATTTTGCAACAATTTCTGATCAGGTATTCTCTCTCTTTATCAATTTATCATCTGACCTATTTGTTTTCTTCTTTTGTGTGTGTGTGTGTTTTCTTCCCTGGTTTTAAAAATTGTACAGCTAAATAAGGACATTCTAACCATAACTTCCTAAGAGAAATGATTTTTTAAACACTTGATTATTATGTACACATATATCTTCATTTTAAGGGAATGTTTAATACACTTTAAGTATATTTATCACTGAATATTAGTTAAGCTTAGTACCACTATGGATTACAGAAGAATTATTTTATGTTTTAAAAGATGACATTTAATCATTGAAAAACTGCTCATTAACTCCTGGTTTGGGGAGGATTTAGTAATTAGTGTTTATTATACGGAAATCCTGTGTACCATTTGTAGGTCATATAGTCACCAGGTCTAGCATGATGCTATAAAATTAGGGATATTAGTGAAAGCTCTTTCAGCAACTGCTGATACTGTTACAAGTCAGTTAACATCTAAGAGCTAAAGGAAACCGTGTGTCCTTTTATGATAAGAAGAAAGAAATAAAAGTCATCTAATAACTTTTATTTGCAAGCCTTCCTTTAACATGGAAGATGAATTTTGAGGATAAGGAAATGGCTAAAAATGTTTGCTGATGTGAAGACTCTTTCTTTATAGACCCAAAAAGTTATAAAAATCATTTTTCATAACTTGAATGTGAGCTCATTCACTCTGTTTTCTGTTTTGAAGATAAAATATGCAATTTTTCATAAATTGTCATTTTTGACTGCTTGTAAAGTACTCTTGTTAGGTACTCTCCACACCTCTAATTCTCTCAACAACCCTGCAATGTAGGTAACCCTTACCTTCCCTACCCATTCTTTCATACCACTGATGTTCCATTTGTTGAGCTTGTATGAACAACTGGTACATACCAGGTGCTGTTGTAGGCACAGAAGATAGCAGTGAATAAATCAGGCAGAAACTTCTGCGTCATGCAGCTTACATTCTAATGGAAGCCAAGGCTTTGGAACTTAAAAGACTTCTCTGGAGCTCCATGGCAGTGGCAGACTCAGGATTCACACCCAGCTCCCACATGTTTCCCAATGCACTGTGCTTCCACTTGGGCTTCCCTGGCGGCTCAGACGGCACAGAATCAGCCTGCGATGCAGGAGGCCCAGGTTCAATCCCTGGGTCGGGAAAATCCCCTGGAGGAGGGAATGGCTACCCACTCTAGTACTCTTGCCTGGAAAATTCCATGGACAGAGGAGCCTGGTGGGCTACAGTCCGTGGGGCCGCAAAGAGTCAGACACGACTGAGCAGCTAAGCATGCACGCACATGCTGCCCGTTAGTTAAACCACAGAGAAACCTTGATTACTTTCAGGAGTATTGTTAAATTTTAATGATATTTAATGCAAATGGAATATATCTGTCAGCAGAAGTCTACACTTCCATAAGAGGAACTACTATGTTAAAAAGAAAATGCTATGATTTAAAAAAGAAAAGATAAATTTTTAGTTCATAGGTGTGTTACCAAAAAACTACCAGAAGTGAATGATCTGTATTTTTTGTTTGTGTGTGCACACACTGCAAAGCTCTCTTTATAGAAGTGTATACATGAATCAAGGTACATTCAGATGGATTCAATACTGCGTGTGTTTTTCTTTGGGACTGGAAATTAGCAAAAAGTTTATTGAAAATCAGAGATACCCTTTATGAATTTTAAAAACTGGATATCTTCCCAACATTATTATGCTGCTGCTGCTGCTGCTAAGTCACTTCAGCCGTGTCCGACTCTGTGCGACCCCATAGACAGTAGCCCACCAGGCTCCCCCATCCCTGGGATTCTCCAGGCAAGAACACTGGAGTGGGTTGCCATTTCCTTCTCCAATGCATGAAAGTGAAAAGTGAAAGTAAAGTCGCTCAGTCATGTCCAACTCCTAGCGACCCCATGGACCCAGCCTACCATGCTCCTCTGTCCCGGGGATTTTCCAGGCAAGAGTACTGGAGTGGGGTGCCATTGCCTTCTCCTGCCATTATGCTAGCAACCTTTTAAAAGCTCTCAGAGCATGTTATTATATCTTAAATACAATAGTTTTTACTCAAGTTTTCTGTCTTAAGAGAGATTAATCTAACCAAAACATATCATTGTCTGTGGTAAATTACAGACTGAACTGAGTTGGCTGTTGTAGCATGCAGATGTCAATTTATTTTTATGAGACTATCAGTGACAGGAAAAGAAAACAGGTTTATGAGTTTATAACTAGACTGTAATGGAGCAGAAATTATTTACATGATTGGTTATTTTTTTCATACTTTTTCAAGGCTGAATTGTAATCTAGGTGAAAAAAATTTTTATATCAAAGTAACGCAATCAAGCAATTTACCTTGGGTTTTTACATTTTGCAGATACTATGTTTTGTTTGTTTTTTAATTCATTTCTTGTTTTTTCTGACTATCATTCTATGGTCTTATTCTGGTCTGCTATTCCTTACAGATTGGAGATCTACAGAGGAGTTATACTGCTGCTCAGAAGTCTGCGGCAGCATTTCCAGCTCACATGGACACAAAACGCTTAATTGAGCAGTTAAAGCAGCATTTTGCTGTGCTCTGATTTTTCCTCAGTTAAATATAATTCCTATATATGTACTTAGGGAAAAAGTAGTATGTTTGTAATACAAACCTGTGCTTGATATTAGTGAAGGTGACGTAAAGGGATTTAAACCAGAATGTTTAAAACTGTATAATAATAACTTAATAAGATAACATCATTTTTAAAAGACAAGATTTTAATCGTTTGTAAGCAGATCGTGACCTCCTCCACAGTATATAGTACATGTTTGTTTACAATGTTTACAAAACATTTTCATGAATTTCTTCAAATTGTTAAAAATACACATTGTTAATGTCCTTTAGTTGGCCATTAGCTAGCATGTAGCTAAAGAGGTATGAAATCTGCCTTTAAAGTTGCACTTTTATGGCAAAAAATTATATACTTACCCTTGGTACAGACTTTAGAAATTAAAGGTTGTATTTAAAGCTATTTTTTATGAAATGCTTTGTGAGACATTCGACATTTTCTTATATATTATGCTTTAAATAAATGTGTATAAAACACCATCCTTCTGTTACTTTTCATGAGTTTTTGTTTCAGTCATCTCAGATGAAACACATTTTCCAGAAGTCCAGAAATGAAGTCTTAGAAATCAAGTCATTATCCTAATTTTATTTTAAATAATGTATCGTCAATTTTGCTTTTTCCTGAGAAGGAATTTATGGGGTACCATGTTGTCAGTCTAAGAATATCAGGACTAGGAGTGGAGTCATAAGCCCCAAGTCCCGCCTGGTCAGCCCCGAGAAGGTTGGGGGGGTCCAGTACCATGAGTGGTAACATCCTAGGAAGGCTCTGCTCTCCAGCGTTCGTGGAACTCTCACTGACGGCCTCTCACAAGGAAGTGCGTTCAAGGGGCGGGCCGCTCACGGTCCAGCTTTGGCCTGTGGGATCTGTCCATGGTACTTCCCATTTTTAAACTTTGTGAAAACCATTTCACGGGTATTTGTTTCTGATGATATAAATTGAACTGCTTAGCTGATGGAACACAGAGGTGTGAATGCAGAGCATGAGATTGTTAGAGGCTGGAAGCAACTTCAGAGAATATGTCGAATCTCACCGCGGGGAGGAGGCCAGGCCCCGACTCACACCTGCCCCGGCCCTTCAGGCTGGAACCTCTGTCGGCTGTCCATGAGAGGCTACCGCTTGTTTGGCTCGCAAGAAATTCCTCAAGCACTGTCAAATTTCCTAACGCAATTCAGTATTTAAGTTCAAATTTTATATTATGAATTGTTTTCTTAGCTAATTTAGAATAACAACTGGTAACAGTGGCTAGCATTTACCGAGGATGTTGTGTGTACCAAGCACTGCTCAAGCCCTGGGTAAGGAGTGACATTTCATCCCCATTGCAGTCCTGTGAAACGCTGTTATTCCCATTTTTCTTGTGAGAAAAATGAAGTGCAGAGCAATCAAATAGCTTGCCCAAGTTGTCAAGCTCAGTAAGTGGCAGAACTGGGATTCAAATGCACATTTACTCCGGTGGTTAAGAACACATACGTGGGAGCCAGGTGCACATTATTTATAAAGAAATGGTATAAGGTAGACTGCAGACTTCTGTGCGGACTCTGATTATGTGTTTTTAACTACCGTGTCAAATCTCTTAGTGTCTCTTCTGTAAATAAAGCTATCATTTAAAATGACTGTTACATGCATTAGTAAAATTGAATAATAAGGGGATATTAACCACTGTGATGAACAGTATTGCATAGGAACCTGGAATGTTAGGCCCATGAATCAAGCTAAATTGGAAGTTATCAAGCAGGAGATGGTGAGAATAAACATTGGCATCTCAGGAATCAATGAACTAAAATGGACAGGAATGGGCGAATTTAACTCAGATGACCACTATACCTACTACTGTGGGCAGGAATCCCAGAGAAGAAATGGAGTAGCCCTCATAATCAGCAGAAGAGTCTGAAATGCAGTAGCTGGGGGCAACCTCAAAGATGACAGAATGATCTCAGTTCATTTCCAAGGCAAGTCATTCAGCATTACAGTAACCCAAGTCTATGTCCCTACCACTGATGCCGAAGAAACTGGAGTTAACCAGTTCTGTGAAGACCTAGAAGACCTCCTGGAACTACCACCAAAAATAGATGTTCTATTCATCATTGGGGACTGGAATGCAAAAGTAGGAAGTCAAGAGATAACCTGGAGTAACAAGCAAGTTTGGCCTTGGAGAAGAAAATGAAGCCGAGCAAAGGCTAGCTGAGTCTGCCAAGAGAATGCATTGGTCATAGAAAATACCCTTTTTAAACAACACAAGAGAAGACTTTACACACGGACATCACCAAATGGCCAATCCCGGAATCAATTTGTTTACATTCTTCATAGCCGAAGATGGAGAGGTTGTTTACAGTCAGCAGAAACAAGATCTGGAACTGACTGTGACTCAGATCATCAGCCTCTCATAGAAAAATTAGGGCTTAAACTAAAGAAAGTGGGGGAAACCACTATGCCAGCCAGATACAACTTAAATCTATGAATATGCAGTGAAGGTAACGAATAGATTCAAGGAATTAGAACTTGTAAACAGTGTGCCTGAAGATCTATGGAGGGAGGGCTGTAGTATTGTACAGGAGGCAGCGAACAAAACCATCCCAAAGAGAAAAGAAAAGCAGTAAGGTAATGTGGTTATCTGAGGAGGCCTTACAAACAGCTAAAGAAAGAGAACCAAAAAGCAAGGGAGGAAGGGAAAGATAGAGCCAACCAAATGCAGATTTCCAAAGGGCAGCAGGGAGATACAAGAAGGCCTTCTTCAATGACCTGCGTGTAAAACTAGAAGAAGAAAACAGAGGGGGAGAGACTAGAGCTCTCTTCAGGAAAACTGGAGACACCAAGGCCACATTTTGCCTGAAGATGGGCACAATAGAGGACATAAAATGTAGAGACCTGGTAGACACTGAAGAGATCAAGAAGAGATGGAAAGAATACATGGAAGAACTGTATGAAAACATCCAGATGAACCGATGACTATGAGGATGTGGTCAGCCACCCAGAGCCAGTCATTCTGGAGAGTGATGTTAAGTGGGCCTTAGGAAGCCCTACTGTTAATAAAGCTAGTGGATGCAGTGGAATTCCAGTAGAACTATTCAGAATCTTAAAGGATGATGCCATCAAGGTGTTGCATTCAATATGTGAGCAAATTTGGAAGATCCAGTAGTGGCCTCAGGACTGGAAAAGGTCAATCCTCATCCCGGTTCCCAAGAATGGTGGTACTAAAGAATGTGCTAACCATCGGACAGTTGCACTCATCTCCCGTGCTAGTAAGGTCACACTTAAAATCTTGCACGCTAGACTTTAGCATTATGTGGACCGAGAACTTCCAGATGTCCAAGCTGGAGTTAGAAAAGGAAGAGGAACCAGAGATCAAATTGCCAACATTCACTGGATCATAGAGAAAGCCAGGGAATTCCAGAAAAGCATCTACTTCTGTTTCATTGACTACATCAAGGCCTTTGAGCGTGTGGATCAGAATAAACTGTGGAAAGCTGTTAAAGAGATGGGAATACCAGACCATCTACATGTCTTTTGAGAAACCAAATGCAGGTCAAGAAGCAACAGTTAGAACCCTGTATAGAACAACTGATTGGTTCGAGATTGAGAAAGGAGTCCAACAGGGCTGTCTGCTGTCACCCTGTTTGTTTAACCTATACACGGAGCATGTCATGAGAAATGCAGGGCTGGATGAGTTACAAGTTGGAATCAAGACTGCTGGGAGAAACATCAACAACCTCAGATATGCGGATGATACGACTCTAATGGCAGACAGTGAAGAGGAACTAAAGAGTCTCTTAATGAGGGTGAAGCAGAAGCGTGAAAGAGCGGGCTTAAAACTAAGTATTAAAAACCCTAAGATCATGGCATCCAGCACCATTACTGCACGGCAAACAGAGGGGGGAAATGCGGAAGTAGTGACAGATTTCCTCTTCTCGAGCTCCAAAATCACTGCAGATGCTGACTGCAGCCCTGAAATCGAAGACAACTGCTTCTTGGCAGGAAAGCTGTGACAAACCTAGACAATGTGTTGAAAAGCAGAGACATGACTCCAGTGGCAAACGTCTGTATAGTCAAGGCATGGTCTTCCCAGTGGTCACTTACAGTTGTGAGAGCTGGGCCGTAAAGAAGGCAGAGGGCCAAAGAATTGATGCCTTCAAACTGTGGTGCTGGAGAAGACTCCCGAGAGTCTCTTGGACTGCAAAGAGATCCAACCAGTCAATCTTAAGGGAGATCAACCCTGAATACTCATTGGAAGGACTGGGGCTGAAGCTGAAACTCCAGTATTTTGGTTTTTGGATGTGAACAGCTGACTCATTGGAAAAGTCCCTAATGCTGGGAAAAATTGAGGGCAGAAGGAGAAGGCGTCAGAGGATGAGATGGCTGGGTGGCATCACCAATGCAATGGACATGAACTTGGGCAAACTTTGGGAGACAGTGATGGACAGAGAGGCCTGGCATGCTGCAGTCCATGGGGTCACAAAGAGACACGACTGGGTGACTGAACAACAAATTAACACAGCAAAAAAAAATGAATGTGTCAGTATTCCTGAAGTGATACAGAGAGATTTTTTTGTCTTGAATTTATGTTAATTCAATGTGAACACCAGTGCAAAGAATGACTCAGGATGGCTAAGGGCAGAATGATGACATAACACTGCATCAGGGGTTACATACATCTTTGTAACAAAATTACCTCTGGCTGCATAACTTCTGGCTTCTGTGCCAACACTGCTATATAAGGAAGGTTAACAACTGTCCTCTACCATGATGAAAAACGTGTCCAATCCATATATAAACTGTTCAGTCAAAATTAACATTATTGAGCTTCCAGCTGATGAAAATGAGATATGGCAAGAAGACTGCCTGTCCTGCATGACTGCTGAAGTTAAATGTCCTTCCTTTCCAAGGGGGTCACATCTGAGCCAGTCCCTGCGGTACTGCTGCTCTGTTATATTTCTAAATGGTGTTCTGCAGGATCAGAGCACCAATCAGGATATAATTTATGGCCTAGAGATAGGAAGATTAATAAAGATCGCACATTACTTTTAATGTACCACCAACTCTTTATTAAAATGAGGGATTTCTATTAAGAGCGTTCAACTGGGATTGATTTTAAGCATTCAGAAAAACAGCAAAGATTTTAGAACTAGTGCAAGAGGACTCAACCTTGGAAAAAAATGAATGCAGAAATTAGGGAAAATGCCACTATTGGATAGTTTCAAATTCTAGGGAACAGGTGAATTGAAATGGTCCATGGAGATGTTCCAGAGTTCCAGAATTGTTGCCTAGGCTCAGATATTAGGGGGAAAGTTTATCAATTTGAAAATAACTGCAGTTTTCATCCTTCCGTGTTGACAGCATTAATCCTATTTTTGGCTGACTAAAAATTTAATGTTTTTGAGAGATGCTGCCATTTCACTTCCTTGATATTAAAGCCCAACTCTTGAGATTAAAGAATAAGGACTAAAGATGAAATAATAATCCTTAAGAACTCAGCTGATAATCTGCCTGCAATGCAGGAGACCTTGGTTCAATTCCTGGGTAGGGAAGATCCCCTGGAAAGGGATAGTCTATCGACTCCAGTATTCTTGGGTTTCCCAGGTGACTTATCTGGACTCTATTTCTTACAGTGTGGACTATATCTCTTACAATGTGATAAGATGTGAATAAAGGACCATATTTCTTATAACGTGACCCTTTCCCTTACCTGAGTCCTGACTGATGAGGAGGAATTGACTGGTATGATGCGAATAGCGCTGTTGACAAAGAGCCTGCCCGCCAGTGCAGGAGAAAGAAGAGACTCGGGTTTGATGCCTGAGTCAGAAAGATCTCCTGGAGGAGGGCATGGTGACCCACTCCAGTATTCTTGCCTGGAGAACCCCATGGACAGAGGAGCCTGGTGGGTTACAGTCCATGGGGTCATAAATAGTTGGACACGACTGAAGTGACTTAGTACACTACACAGCACAGATGACAGGAACGACCATGTTATCTTAGTGAAGAAAAAGTCACGCTTAGATATTGGGAAGAACGATCTTTTCTGTTTTAAATCAGAGAAGATAGACCCTCTTCCAGTGTTTGAAACTCAAGTTTCAAATGATGCTGGGCACCAGCATTTTCTTTCTACTGAAATGTTTCTCTCATTCCCTGTTTTAAAAAAAAAAACAACCCAGTGCCTTTAAACCTGTCCCTTTATAGTACTACCTTCCTTCCTTTGTCAGAACATCTTCAAAGGGCAGATGATGCTTGTTGCCTGCTTCCTCGTCGTCCCTGTGTTTCCTGACCCTCTTCAGTCTGGCTTCAACTCCCACCCCTGCTAAGCAGCTCTCACTGAGGTCACTAATGACTCTGATTAGCAAATCCAGAGGTTTTTTTTTTTTTACAGTTATCTATTTTTTATTAAGTGTGTAATTGCTTTACAATGTCCTGTCCCTTTCTGCTCTGCAACATGAATCAGCTGCATGGATACATATATCCCCTCCCTCCTGCATCTCCCTCCCACCTCGCCGCCCCCATCCAACCCACCTAAGTCATCGCAGAGCAACTAGCTGAGCTCCCCACTAGCTTTCTGTCTTATACATTGTTGCTGCTGTTGTTCAGTCACTTAAGTCCTGTCTGAATCTCTGAGACCCCATGGAGTGCAGCACGCCAAGCTTCCCTGTCCACCATCTCCCTGAGTTTACTCAAATTGATGTCCATTCAGTCGGTGATGCTAACCATCTCATCCTCTGCCACCCTTATCTCCTTTTGCCTTCAGTCTTTCCCAGCATCAGGGTTTTTTCCAATGAGTCAGCTCTTCGCATCAGGCGGCCGAAGTATTCAGCTTCTGCAACAGTCCGTCCAATGGATATTTGGGGTTGATTTCCTTTAGGGTGGACTGGTTGGATCTCCTTGGGGATTCTTGTGGCTTGTGAAGTTGCTCAGTCATATCCGACTCTTTGTAACCCATGGACTGTAGCCCCACCAGGCTCCTCCATCCATGGAATTTTCCAGGCAAGAGTACTGGAGTGGGTTGCCATTTACTTCTCCGGAGGATCTTCCCGACCCAGGGATCGAACCTGGGTGTCCTGCAGATGCTTTGCCATCTGAGCCACAGGGAAGCTTTGGGGACTCTGATGTCCCCTAAATTTTGACTGGCTTCATCTCATTTTACACGTGGGGGTGTATGGATGTCAATCTTAGACAAGGACTGAGAGCGTATGGAAGAAATCCCTGCATGAAGCGTCAGTAGGGCTTTGACAGCCAGAGGGAGAGAGAGGCTGTGGTGAGGCATCCCAGGCAGGGCCTTGGGCGCCGTGAGAACGTGAGCTTGGCTGGATGGGGGTTGCGCAGTAGCAGCAGGGGTAGGCTGGTCATGAGAGATGGGTTTGGAGGCTCAGGAAGGACCGGCAGGTTGAAGGCTTTGAATCGCAAGTTAAGGAGTTGAAGTTTCACCTGAGGGTTGCAAAGTAAGCAGGTATTTTATAGGGATTGATCTGGAGACAATGTTGAGGATCAGTTGGAGAATATAGAGTTGGATGTAGATTTTATTTATTTTGGATATAGAATTAAAATCAAGTCTTCTAGGAAGAGTGTGAAAATGAATATATTTACACTAGATAATAGATACAACTTTCTCAGCTGCACCACATACGCAACCAATCAGACCGTTCACGCCACACTTCTGCTTGGTCTCACCCTTTTCTCTTTCCCATCTGTGCCCCAAAGCAGAAAAAAGGGCCTTGTCACAGCTCGTGCAAAGAACGCTGAATGCCACAGATGGTGCTTCATTAATTACACATTTCAATAAATAGTTTTCTTAACAAGATTTCTGTCTTTTCACCAAAGTGGGTCTATGAGTTAAGTGACATTTTTATATTTCATGAAATAGGAATTTGGAGGAAAGAAAAATATTAATACCGAGTACAATTTTCTCCACTATAATCTTTGTTTCAACTAGTGTCTGTGGCCAGGCTGTGGGGATTCTGATGTCCCATAAATTTTGAGAACCACGTTGCTACATGGTTTATAACAGTATTTGCACCACTAAATTCCTCAAAAGATGCAAACTGTGGAAGAGGAAATGTGTGTGTTACTCGCTCAGTCATACCTGATCTTTGTGACCCTATAAATGGTAGCCTGCCAGGCTCCTCTGTCCATGGGGTTCTCCAAGCCAGAATACTGGAGTGGGTTGCCATGCCCTCCTTGAGATCTTCCCAACCCAGGGGTCGAACCCATGTGTCTCTTGCATTGCAGGCAGATTCTTTACCACTGAGCCACTGTGGAAGCCCTCAAGATGAAATAGATAACCTGAATAGCCCTATATCTGTGAAAGAGTCTACCTGTTAATACAACTTGAATACAGTGCCAAGGGGAGGTGTCCCAGATTCCTTGAGAGCGAGCTTTAAATGGAAGGATTTAGGCTATCTTTTGAGACCCTCGTGAAATACTTGTGAATGGAGGTGGAGAGAAAAGACATCCAAATAATAAGTAATTATTTTATTATTATTACATCTTAAGTGCCTGCTGGTTGTAATCTCTGCAACTCTGCACTATTATGATTCCCATTTTCCTGGTGATAACCTCAGAAAGGTTACATCACTGCCCAAGTTTACTAGATAGTAAAAAGCATAGCTGGGAATCACAGCGTCTAGACATGCTATCTTCCTTCAACCAGCTAAGAGTAGGCAAGCTAGCAAAAGTAGAAGATGAAGTGGTATCTCTCGACGAGCTTGAGAAATCAGATGGGACGGGAACACACGGGTCACAAACAATGAGGTATCGCCTATCAGAATGGGTCCTGACATTCCCACAGGTTCTATGGGTCATGATCTTCTCTGATCCTTTCAGCAACCCTATGGGGCTAGCGACCCAGCAGTTTGCATCCCCATCCTCTAAATGAGAAAACAAAATTCCAAGAGAGAAACTCACCCATCTATAGTCACACAGTCGGTGAGAGACACATTAGGGACTTAACAACAGGTCTTCTAATCCATCCCACACCATATATTTCCACTTTCCCAACCATGCAGCCTTTGAATAGCAGAGGGATGAACTGAAAGGCAAAATTGCATGCATTAAACTCTCCAGGCAAAGGAAAGTTGTGTCTAGAAACAGTTAGCTCAAATAGTTCTGAGCACATCTTTAGATATGTTACACTGAGTAAGCATCGGTGATGTCCACCACTTCCGAAAGAAGCAGCGGAAGATTCCAGACGGCTCTGACAGAAGTGGGTTGTGTTCCAAGCCCCGCATTCAGACCTGTGCAAGCTTACAGCGGGCTTACTGTGGTCTTATAGTCCCTGCTAGGGTTTCGATCAGAAAAAAAAAAATGTCTGAAGAGCTTCGATTGAAAAGCACCTGTGCTGTTAGCACTCTGACCCTGATTTCCCATCGCAAGGCGTCTTGGTTTCCTGTCCGTGCAGCGCTTTTCCAGGTATTACAGTGACTCTCAGGAGGGGCGGTGACCGGGCTGAGCAAGTCTGAATGCAGGCCACCGCCCAGGAGGCCCACCACAAGCAGGACGCTGCACCTGCGGCCTCCCTGTGAGACAGTGGACGAGGAGATGCGCATCCTAAGTGAGGTTAATCAGACCGAGACAGATACCGTATGACATCCCTTATGCGTGGAGTCTAAAATGAAGATGCAGATGACCTTCTTTACAAAGCAGAAACGGACTCACAAAGGCAGAAAACAAATGCAGTTACCGAGGGAAAAGTGGAAGGGAAGGGATAAGTTAGCAGTCTGGGATGAGCGGATACACACTACCATACACAAAATAGCCAAACAGGCTGCGAGGCTGTCTGTGGATCCCAGCAGGTGATTCCAGGGAACGTGGCTCAGCATGTATTATACACTGCAAACGATCACATCTGTGCCCTGGGAACCATTTTTCAAGGGTGGGGACCAGAGTTTGAATGGTGTCTGTAGGAAGACACTCCCTAGCTTACCATCAACAAGCGTCATATCCTCAGCACTTCCCACCTGCAGGTTACAGTTTGGATTGTTGCGCTGTGTATAAAAGGGGAAGGATGCTGAGGACGAGGGAGGCAGTGCACACGTGGGACCGGAGGAATAAGCGAACTCTCTGTACCACCTTTCTCTCAATTTGCTGCAAACATAAAACTGCTTTAAAAAACCAAGTCTTGAAAAAATAAACAGGGACCTCCTGCATATTCAATATCTTGTCATAACCTATAATGTAAAAGGAGTTGAAGAAATAGATATTTATAGATACAGGTGTAGCTTATATCTGGGCTTCCCTGGTGGCTCAGATGGTAAAGAATCCGTCTGCAATGCGGGACACCTGGGTTCGATCCCTGGGTCGGGAAGATCACCTGGAGGGGGGCGTGGCAACCCCCTCCAGTATTCTTGCCTGGAGAATCCCCATGGACAGAAGAGCCTGACAGGCTACAGTCATGGGGTCACAAAGAGCCGGACAGGACTGAGTGACTAAGTACAGCACAGCACAGCTTATATCTATACATCCACACTTGAGTATATAGGTAAATAACTGAACCACTTTGCTATACACCTGAGACATTGTAAGTCAACCATATTTCAATAAAAAAAAATAGTCACCTGGATTTTGCCATTAACCCTGAAGCAAATCTGTATTTGTTTTAAGATAACAATAGTACATTCCTCGCTTCTTCACATAAGGCAGCTATTCCAGCGCAAAGGTCTGTAATTTAGCCTGCATTCTCCCCAGCAGTTGCTGTTGTTACGCTATCCTTCTATTTCTAGTTCTGTGTAGAAGGACCAAGCGAGTGAAGTCTTCCTTGTTTAACACCTTGCCCTCCCCACCTCGCCCTCTGGCTCGCCCAGCCTCCTTCCCCCATTCTCAGGGCTCAGGGTTCTGTCCTGTCCTGCTCAGCAGCATCTCCTGTTCTGGACCTTTATGTCCCTTCACCCAAATTTGCCCAGTTCTATGTTGCCAACAAAGCTCTGTCTAGTCAAGGCTATGGTTTTTCCAGTGGTCATGTATGGATGTGAGAGCTGGACCATAAAGAAAGCTGAGTGCCAAAGAATTGATGCTTTTGAACTGTGGTGTTGAAGAAGACTCTTGAGAGTCCCTTGGACTGCAAGGAGATCCAACCAATCCATCCTGAAGGAGACCAGTCCTGGGTGTTCATTGGAAGGACTGATGTTGAAGTTGAAACTCTAGCACTTTGGCCACCTGATGGGAAGAGCTGACTCATTTGAAAAGACCCTGATGCTGAGAGGGATTGGGGGCAGGAGGAGAAGGGGACGACAGAGGATGAGATGTTGGATGGCATCACCGACTTAATGGACATGAGTTTGAGCAAGCGCCAGGAGTTGGCAATGGACAGGGAAGCCTGTCATGCTGCGATCCATGGGGTCACAAAGAGTCGGACATGACCAAGCGACTGAACTGAACTGAACTGATGTTGCTGTCTAATGTGGACACGTCTGTGTATTTCTCCCTTCTAAGGAAAATACTGTGGTTTCCCATGGGATTTCAGGCATCATGGCAGACTTACATGAGCTATCTGGGGCCAAGAAGAACTCCATGGCATCCCTCAGCTCACATGCTGAAAGTAGCCGTAACAGTGAAGAGCAAATCTGACTCCATATTGGATGTTTCTTTTACTTTAACCTTTGTATTCTGTTGCTTTTGCTACAAGTTCATCACTAAAAGGATCTTGCCTATAGCTTAAGGTACTTGCAATGGCCTAACTCTGGGAACGCTGCCTCCCGTGCCTGAGAGTTAAGCTAAAATACCTTTGTTTAGCTCACTAGAAAATCCTGACCAGGGTGTTTGAATGGCTGTGGAGAGCTGCAGAAAAGAAGTAACTAACACATCCCCTCTGGAGTCCACCCAAAACCAGGAAGTATTTGCAATAGCTTTCATCCGTTTTAGTTACCTCCTCACCTCGCCTTCTTTGCTCTAGAACAGAAGCTAGCATCCCAACCTGGGGAAGATGTTTCTTTGTGACACTAGCCCACCATCTTCTCCATCTGCTTGCTATTCCTTGCCCCAGCAACTCATCTCCCATTCGGCAAGCAGTGCAAGCCTGGATAACTCAGCACAGCCCACTCAGCGGGACACCGCTCTTCTAAATCCCAAAGCCGTGAGAAGCTGGTGAAGTTAGAGCAGAAAGCCAGAAAGCATTAGAGCCTAGGCATTTGCAGAGACTTTTGGGGTTTCGCCACAGTATTGCTTAGAGCTATCCTCCGTGGGGTTTAATTTTCAAATCCGATGGAGGGGTATGACAACAGGGACAGCAGGAGTCAAATGACCAGCCCACAACACGCTGGCGTCCAGCGTCCCAGGAAGACAGGAAGCGGTGTCTGCACTCAGTCTATCCTTCGGGTAAACCGCGGCTCACTGAGGCCGGAACCTGTTCCTAGCACGTCCTGTTGAAATGCTCAGGACCTACTCTCCCTTGAGTAAAAGTGTTAATTACAGTTTCAAAGCTGTAAACGCAGCGCAGTGTTTTTGGAAGGCAGTGGGAGGGTGACTCAGTGTTTGGAGACACTTTCTGGGCCGGCTTCGCTCACACATCCATTTCTGCCCACGTGGTGCCACACAGATTATACCTTTGGGGCGGTGTGGGGTGGTTCCTCTGTGCATTCATGCGTGTGCGTGCATGTGTGTGTAGGTGTATATAGTGGAGGACATCATATTCTTTTTTTTTTCTTATTGCAAGTTAATCTCATCCTGTGAGTTATGCTGTAGGTGCCATTTGGGAAATCAGAATTTTCTGTTTGCGTTCAATACGGAGACAATCTTTGCAGTCATGGGGCCTCACATTAGTGGCATCTGTCAGCCACACGAAAGAAGTATGTCTGTTCTGTATCCAAAGACACTATTTGAACAGCATGACCTTGCCCCCACCCTCCACTGCTTCAGCAAGAGGGACCCGGAGCAGCAAATTTGCTGGCTGGCTCTCTCCAATGGTGGTGTGAACTGAAAAGGTAAAGAAGATTTAGGCTTGCCCTTGAGGAGAGTCAGAGAATATTCCCTTTAGCTTCTCTCTGCTGGTCTGGAAGTCTCAGAATCTCTTTCTGGGTCTTTAGTCGTTATTCTTAACATTGAGACATACTCAAGTTAAGTCTATTTTAAATTTAATATTTCCACCCTTCCCATGCATAATTCAAAATCCTTTAATCTTACATGGCAACATATTACTAGTATTGGTTTGGCCAACAAGCTCACTTGGGATTTCCCGAAGCTGAAATGGAAAAACCCGAGTGAACTTTTTGGCTACACACACCCCCCACCCCCCAAATTTGAATCTCACTTTGTATCTCTATCTCTTAAAAGAGTCATTTGTTCCTATTGTTGTTAATGCTTGTCCAGATATACCTATGCGATGATCAGTTTCTTTGTTCACAGTTCTTGTGATTTGTGGCATATAAATTTTCAGGGAGACTTCCCTTATAGGTGGTATATGTTCCATGAACAGAAAAATATCTGTTCTCACCATACACAAAAATAAACTCAAAATGGATTAAAGATCTAAATGTAAGACCAGAAACCATAAAACTCCTAGAGGAGAAAATAGGCAAAACACTCTCCGACATAAATCACAGCACGATCCTCTATGACCCACCTCCCAGAATTTTAGAAATAAAAGCAAAAATAAACAAATGGGACCTAATGAAACTTAAAAGCTTTTGCACAACAAAGGAAACTATAAGCAAGGTGAAAAGACAGCCCTCAGATTGGGAGAAAATAATAGCAAACGAAGCAACAGACAAAGGATTAATCTCAATATACAAGCAACTCCTCCAGCTCAACTCCAGAAAAAT